CATTCAGAAAAAGCGAAGATAAGTACATTTGGAAAGAACCGAAGATAAGTATAGCTAGAAAGAACCGAAAATAAGTACATCTAGAAAGAACCGAAGATAAGTACATTCAGAAAAAGCGAAGATAAGTACATTTGGAAAGAACCGAAGATAAGTACATTTGAAAAGAACCGAAGATAAGTACATTTGGAAAGAACCGAAGATAAGTACAGCTAGAAAGAAGCGAATATAAGTACATTTAGAAAGAACCGAAAATAAGTACGTCTAGAAAGAAGCGAAGATAAGTACATTCAGAAAAAGCGAAGATAAGTACATCCAGAAAGAAGCGAAGATAAGTACATTTAGAAAGAACCTAAGATAAGAACAGCTAGAAAGAAGCGAAGATAAGTACATCCAGAAAGAACCGAATATAAGTACATTTAGAAAGAACCGAAGATAAGTACATCGAGAAAGAAGCGAAGATAAATACATGCAGAAAAAACCGAAGATAAGTACATCTAGAAAGAACCGAAGATAAGTACATCCAGAAAGAACCGAAGATAAGTACAAATAGAAAGAACCGAAGATAAGTACATTTGAAAAGAACCGAAGATAAGTACATTTGGAAAGAACCGAAGATAAGTACAGCTAGAAAGAAGCGAATATAAGTACATTTAGAAAGAACCGAAAATAAGTACATCTAGAAAGAACCCATGATAAATACATCCAGAAAAAGCGAAGATAAGTACATCTAGAAAGAAGCGAAGATAAGTACGTCTAGAAAGAAGTGAAGATAAGTACATTTGGAAAGACCCGAAGATAAGTACAGCTAGAAAGAAGCGAAGATAAGTACATTTAGAAAGAACCGAAGATAAGTACATTTAGAAAGAATCGAAAATAAGTACATCTAGAAAGAACCGAAGATAAATACATTCAGAAAAAGCGAAGATAAGTACATCCAGAAAGAACCGAAGATAAGTACATCTAGAAAGAACCGAAGATAAGTACATCTAGAAAGAACCGAAGATAAGTACGTCTAGAAAGAAGCGAAGATAAGTACATTCAGAAAAAGCGAAGATAAGTACATCCAGAAAGAAGCGAAGATAAGTACATCCAGAAAGAACCGAATATAAGTACATTTAGAAAGAACCGAAGATAAGTACATCGAGAAAGAAGCGAAGATAAATACATGCAGAAAAAACCGAAGATAAGTACATCTAGAAAGAACCGAAGATAAGTACATCCAGAAAGAACCGAAGATAAGTACAAATAGAAAGAACCGAAGATAAGTACATCAAGAAAGAACCGAAGATAAGTACATCAAGAAAGAAGCGAAGATAAATACATCTAGAAAGAACCGAAGATAAGTACATCTAGAAAGAAGCAAAGATAAATACATGCAGAAAAAACCGAAGATAAGTACAAATAGAAAGAACCGAAGATAAGTACATCTAGAAAGAACTGAATATAAGTACATCTAGAAAGAACCGAATATAAATACATCCAGAAAAAACCGAAGAAAAGTACACCCAGGAAGAACCGAAGATATGGATTAAAATACATAGAGTGGAATGCATAGAATTTTAAGTTAAGCACTTTAGTTATATTCTGATCCCGTCCTTCCTTAAGGCAAGAAGAGGAGTAGACAGTTCACAAAATGTAGAATGACGGAGAAAATCATGACATTTCAATTATCAATAACAACAAAATATACTAGGAAAGAAATAGCAAAAATTGGAAGCTTTGCAAATGGAAAATATAAAATAAATAAAAATATGGAAAGAGAACAATCGAAAAAAAAAAAACATAAGGAGAATGGAAAGTCAGAAATATAAACCAATGGAGTGTATAAAATAAATAAGATGAGTGTATATGGTGAGAAGATAATCAGAAGGAGGAAGATCTAAGGAGAGAGGAAGGTAAGAGAAAAGCCACCTAGAAAAGAATGCGAAAAAAGATAAACTAGAGGTACATGTGATTAACTTGATAGAAATGTACACAGAGGATAGAGAAAAGAACAGCCGCTATTAAAAGAAAATAAATACGCTAAAATAAAAAAAAGGTGAGGGGGGGGGAATATAAAATGAGACTCAGACCTGAATAAAGTAGCATCTTCACTAAGCCACACTGTCAGGAAATTTAATTTTTGGTAGTATATATCAAATATATGGGTGTGTTGGGCTGAGGGTTCTTCTACAGTAGGTGTCTGTGACATGTTGGCGATAAATTCGACAAGAAATGAACAGCACTCACTCCGCTAATTTTAAAATAATTTATTCAAAACAAGTTAAATGTATGTACAAAAATTCTTTACAGTATGTATATCATAGACGTATCTTAAATACTATACAGGCCTATTCAATTGCTTTAAAATTCAGTTGACAAGCCGAACTATTTTTCTCTATTTTTATCTTAAATACTATCAGTGTATAATTCACTTATTCCTTTTCTTCTCTCTCTCTTTTTCTTCTTTTATCACAACAGTATTGGTGTAAAATTCACGTATGTTTTCATTGAATTACCGCAGTTGTATCCTCAACTTCCAATACTCGTCTGCTTTTTGGTATTTGGGCCGACTGCCAACAAACGTCTGTTTTTTGCATATAGGCCTACTTCCAAATGATCGTCTGCTTTCTTGTCAAAGTCCACATAGGCAGATTCAATTGCTTTTTAACACCCTTTGAGAAGACAAATTATTCTCCTAAAATGTCAGAAAACTGTTAATCTCACTTTAACATATCAATGGTTAGGCTATTCATTCCTACGATGGTTAATTTTACGTTTTCTAACCTTTCTCTGACCAGAACTATCTTTAATTCGGCTTTACTTTTAGCTTTCTTCCCGCTCTCTGGTCTTTCTTCTGGTTGCCGCTTTTTTATATCTCTCACTCAGGCGTTCTAGAAATCTCTGTAGCCACGAAATCAATAACTTACAAACACAACTTGAACAATCGTTTGCTTTTAACTCTCTTATTCTATATATATGTATATATAAACAATAAACAAACATAAAATATTAATTCACAAAATAAATTAATTAATACTACCTACACTAAACAGTCTTTTATATCTAACGCATACTTCTATTCTATTACTTTTCTTTACTCACTCAGAACTCATAAAGTTAATTTGGGCAAAACGTTGACCCAGTTACTTTTGTAATTTATTTAGTTTCATGAACTCTGTTACTGGTGCATTTTTTCGATAAAAAGAAACAAGATGTTATTAGATTCACTGAGATTAAAAAACAGAATTTTTTTTCAAAATAATGGCGAGATACAAATACGAGAAACACGAAATAATTGCGCAAAAGAAGATGCTTAATTTTTCGCCGAAGGAATCAGCTCTTGTGTAATTACTCAGTTTTAACTTTTGTAAATTCTGTAGTGGTTTGTGTACTTGAACTATGACGTAATAATATTCTTTAAGGGAATGGAATAAGATTAGAAATCGTACATGTACACTTACACTTGCTTGACGGTAAGCTAATGACAACCCATGCATCTGACACATAACTTGCAAGCTGCAAACCCATACATTGCTATTACTTTTGCACGTGCTCCACGAAACATGCGCTTTACGTAGCAGTGAGCTATGTGTGTGTGTGTGTGTGTGTTTCACGCACAAAATTCAGTCAACACTTCGTAGGCTATATCAACAGCGACTGATGTCGTAAAGTGAGAGAGAGTGAAGATGACAGGACTGAATATTCATCCGCGGAAGAGTTTGTTAACAGTATATTGTTTAACTATTGTTTTATTTGGTCAGCCGATATCTACTCTTGCCTCAAGTTCAAGGTAGGTACAAAGTCAGCCAATCAGAGTTTACGACCAATAATATTTGTGAAACTTATAAAAGAGAGATCAAACTGGTATTCATTGTTTACCATAAAAATTTCAGTATCATCCTGCTCAGGCTAGCAACTAAATGACATCACCCAATAAGACATTTCTACTAAATATGCTATACGTGTTGCAGTCAAACTTAAAATCACGGGGTTAACAAGAACTAACGACTAGAACTGTAATTGGATTTTTGTTTCCGTCAGCTGATTGGTAAGGAATAACGTTATAGATAAAACAAAGTTTATCGAACCATGTAAGGTCTGTTATTGTAAACACGTTCCACCTGGTAATAAACCCTCGCATTTCGTAACCTTGTTGGAGGGTTTGGCGTACTTATAATTTATATGAAACCCATTTAAAAAAAATGAGTATTTAAACACAGACTAGTTCTTTCAAAGTTACGTCTGTAAGTAGCTGTTAGAAATCAGACTTCGCCACCCAGTGATAGTTAACATAATACTTACGAAAAGTTAATGTTACTTATCGCCACACGTGTTAAAGTTACATGTGCCAATAGATCCCACCACCACGGTACCAGCTATCGAATAGAACCACAATACCGGTCAGTATTCTACTGTATCGACCTTTTTTTGTTCTTACGAAACTTGAACTGGTATCGTACACAATAAATAAGTTGTTATCACTGCATAAACGTGATAGTTTTGTTCCAAGTTACCTTATATATCTAATAACCTGGATCTTTAACTTATATTGGGCATTTTCTAATCAGTATCAATCGACTACATGATTATTAACTACGTGAAAACTGGATATATTTTATGCTGCTTCTTATGGTTTGTTTGTTATGAATTTCGCACAAGGCTACACGAGGGCTATCTGCGCTAGCCGTCCCTAATTTAACACTGTAATACTAGAGGGAAGGCAGCTAGTCATCACCACCCACCGCCAACTCTTGGGCTACTCTTTTACCAAGGAATAGTGAGATTGACCGTCCATTTATAGCGCCCTTACGGCTAAAAAGAGCGAGCATGTTAGGTGGGATGGTGATTCGAACCCGCGACCCGCAGATTGCGAGTCGAGCTTCCTAACCACCTGGCCATGCCGGGCCGCTTCTTATGGACATGTTTCTATTGAACAGAAGAATATAAACGATTGACCACTAACAGTGACCTCTGTAAAGTGAACATATGAGCAACAGATATGTGCACGGTCATAACTTGACTAAAACAAGAAACCAGCCAGCTTCAACTTTACATAAAATGTATTATCAGAATATCTTGTCTTAATGCACGTTATTGTAACACAAATGTCTGTAAAACCAAATTTTAATTAATATCTCAATTGTTTAGATTTTATTCGCACACACATTGACAAAAACAAATCAAACGATTTACTACTCTGTAAAAGTAACTAAAACGGTTTATTTTTACTACATCTATTCAAGGGAATAAACTTGTAAAATAGATGTACACTCAATATACCCTGTACACGCATAGTGCTTCTACCAATGTGATAAACCACTCCCATGTTTTGAACAGGTGGTTAAGAGATTACATTTGTGACGCAGTTACAATGATTAAGATACTTGTACGAAAAATCAAACAAACAAAAAACAACAACAAGTATTTGTGAAGAATGTCCAATATTCCAAATTTTTATATTTTTGTAATTATATTTGTTGAATATACCTGCCAATAATGAATACATGTAGATCATTAATCAACCACCTGGGTAAAAAAAAATCAAATTATGAACATATTGTAATCATTCGCTACACTAATGTGATGTATGTTGCTAGAAACTTTACTGGAAGTATTTTGAGATACTTGTTAGGACTTCTTCTGAATGTTATATAAAGTAGTGACGTTGTATGTTTTTAACCGGTTTGAGTAATAACATTCGAACGTCTCTGATAACCCTTCATTCATATGCACATAAAAAATAACAAATATTAACGTAGTATCGAGAACGATATTGTGCATAAATGTGGATTGTGTATTGTCGGACTCTCTTGTTGTTTGTCCGTCGGTGATAGGTCATGATCTGTTTAGTACGTTTCTTCCGAACCTGGTGTGAACTCGATCATTCTAACTGTTTTCCACGTAACAACCAAAGTGTTTAAGATAACGTTAATACTGAATAATATGCCAGTTATGAGAACGTATGGTTGATCACTGTTTCTCATAGTTTATGTTTGTTTGTTGTTAAGCGCACAGCAACACAATGGGCCATCTGTGCCGAGCCCAACATAGGTATCAAAACCTAGTTTTTAGCGTTATAAGCTTTCAGACTTATCGCTGAACCACTGGAGGGGGCATAGCTTGTGTACTAATAAAAGTATAATTTGGTCTATAAAAACAATGCTTTGTTTTGTTGCTATTATGATCTTCTAATAGTATAGTAGGTTACCATTTGCTCTATTATGTTATTTATCGAAAATAATTTCTGAAACGTTCACGAAACGTCGTGTTGCGTTTTTTCCCCATGTGTGGTGTTTTTGTACTTGGAGGTTTATTATTGTGAATATTCAGTTCTATTCACTGCTAGAGCAGCAACGCAAGAAACCAATTTACCACAGAAATGATCAATTTCGCCCTTTTTCACACATGCTAATGGAACAGTAAAATTGGTAGCTTTGATCCCATTCATTCGTATTAGTATTAACGGATCCTCGACACGTTTGAAATATATACCGATTTACACACAGAATACGTTTGTGAGGTAATCTTAATAGGCAGTGCTATTGGGCGTGTTTTCAGTTTCTTATTCCTTTATGAAAACTCGCAAAACATTTCTATTACGAGTAAAATACATTTTTTTTCTTTTCAAATAGAAAAACGTACGTTTCACATTTCTTTCTCTTCTCTTTTTTTTTGAATCATCATAGCAAAGAGGGCATGTTTTTGCGTTCCTGTAATTTTTGGTGACGAAACCAAGACTGGGATAGGTATAATTTACTCTTGTGAAGCTTGGAATTCATCCTCTTTAAGTATTGTTTCTTGGTAAAAGGGATGAGATAGCTAAAACTTAAACTCGACTATCATGATACATAACAGGGACAAATGCAGCATTATCAATGGAAGTAGTAGTTTCGGCATCGGGAGTTAGGTCCTGAGAGAGTCAGGTTCCATTTAGACCTTCCTGAACTATTACTGATTTTTTACTCATGGCTGTTGTGATTTGAATGCTGCGTAATTTGTTTCTTTTCTTAAAGCTGTTAATCCTTTTTCTTTTGTTATAATCATTTTCAGGGCCATGTCCATGTATGATTTCAGTTTACTGGGATTCATATGGAACAAGTTAGGTATATCCGTTGGGCACCAGAAGGCGTGCTGCTAGGGGCGTGTTGCTAGGACCATCATAGTCCCAATCTGTGCCAACAGATGACGATTTACTAGAAGAATACAACATCTTCTGGTGGTTCGTTTTCAACCATCTGCACGTTCATCATAGATTACCTCATCATCTCTCTCTCTCTCTCCCTGACTAGCTGCCTTCCCTCTAGTCTTACACTGCTAAATTAGGGACGGCTAGCGCAGATAGCCCTCGTGTAGCTTTGCGCGAAATTCCAAAAACAAACAAACTCTCTCTCCCCGTCAACAGATATCAATTTGTTCAGCATGTGATTACATTATCAACTTTATAGTTTTCACTTCAATAATAATACGATCTTTACAATTTATATTTAATCTAATTTACATAACAAATTTTTGTACAATTACCCTAATTTATCTTATAGATATTTAGTCGTGAAAATAATTATTTCGTATCGTTTTATATGTATAAAACATTCAAACTCTCTCTCTCTATATATATAACACATGTTTCACTAATTATTCATTTCACCGTTTACGTATATTCTTATATTATCAATCTATATATATAATAATACATCCCATATATCCACAAGTTATTAAACTCTATATGTTCATTTTTGGTCCATTTAATCGTAGTAACGCTTGTACTTTTTCTAACGGCAAGACTAACTGTAGAACAAAACTCGACCCACTTAATTTTTCAAATTCTCTATTATAGTAAATTAGATTATCAACACTTACCAACAACTTGAGACAATTAAAATGATTAGAATTCATGGCAAGCTTGTGGTAACTATAACTTTTTGACATACTGCACAATTGAAAATAACAGTTCTGCTTACCGTATACCATTTACATATACAAGTCTAAAGCAGTTTTCTATTTAACTAAAGGACATAATATGATAATCGATTGTTTCAATAAGTGGCACTGCGGCACATAGCAAGGTAGGAGTCAGTTCCAAGAATCTTGGACAAAGTTATATAAGAAGAGAAGTTAACGAATGAACTCACTGACTTATACTAGAAAGAGACACAAGAATTAAAATTCCAAGAAACTGAGTAACTTTTGTTAATATCATAGCAAGATTATTTGTGTATGATTGTCTTATAATTAAACTTTCACGTGAAAGTTAAATGTCTTTGTAAGATTCAGATACTATAGTTCATTTGTGCAACGACATCTGAAAACAAATTTTGAACTTATCTTGAATCAGTTGCATACATACACTAGATGACCTTACAAACACTCAGAGGACTGTTTTAATCTAAAGCATTTAATACTCTACGTCTGAGCCATATAAATGAAATGAATGGCTTCTGTAGAATAAAATCCAATCATTTTACTATTGTAGAAAGTAGTTGAAGTAGTAACACTTACCATTCTGGTCACTATGATTTTCTGTAAAACATTCTCTTTTTCACTTTGAGATACAAAACAATAGATCTCCGAGACAAATGGTATAATTTTTTTGATATAAGGAACTTTCGATAGAAATTTAAAATTGATAAACATTGTTATTTTACGGTGCAGCCTATTTGATATAAAGCTGTAAATGAAGGTACAACATGCATAAAACAAACTATGTACACACGTACAAACAATCTAAATCTAATGTAAAGGTCAGTTCCACTTAATTATCAAATGCTGGCTCACATATCACAGTCTAATTGG